TCAGGGAATGGTCAGGCTGTGGGACAGAGACACACCCAGTCAGATCACTCAAATGACAATTCAGCAGCCACTTCTCTCAAGTTGCTAAAGTCCACAGGCACCTCGTGCCCACACCCTCCTCACACACACACTGTCACTCAACCCCAAATGGTGGCTCTTGGAAAGAGACCCTGGTATCCACCCCACTTATCCTGATCCCATCGAGTCCCGTCCAGGAACACATCTAAAGACAGCAGGAGAGCAATGTCCACTGTGGTGGCACCAACACAATGATGGGTTCCCTCACACAGATTGCAGCGCCCATTCTGCTGAGGTTGCTGGCCCTCTGCTCTGTGGGCTGTGCAGCAGCAAGTGGCCACGCTGGGGAGGCCCACAGAGCTCCCTGTGGCCTCTCGGAGCTGAGGACGCCTGCAGCCACAGCCACAAGAAATCCACCCTCAGTCCTACACCTACAGGAAACCGAATTCTGCCCACAACCGAGTGAGATTGGAAGCATCTCCTTTCCCAGCATTGGGGCCCGGATCAAGCCAGTCTCAGCCAAAACCCTGATCTGGTGAGCCCTGATTCTGAGGGATCGCTTGCACCATGCCCTGCTCCTGACTGCAGAAGCTCTCAGACAGTCACGAATGTGTAGTGTCACTAGGCCAGTGGGGATATTGCTCCACAGCAAGAAATGATTAAGCCATGTCCTTCATGAAATCTGGTCCCATCCACCCTGTGGTGCCAGCAGAGGTGGGGGCGGGGGGAGGGAAATGACCTGTATTAATCCTTTGGGGTTAGAAACTCTCATAATCCCCTATTCTAAAATTGGGGGAAACTGGGTCTCCAAGAAACTGGGTCTATACAGATATAGGAGACCTAGACCCCTGAATTTTATGCAAATCTGGGATCTTCATCATCCTCTTCCTGACAGCCCAACTGTATCTCTCTGTGAATTTCCCGTTTATATCCTAGACTTAGATTTCTGTTTGTGTACCCATTTTAAAGTTAGATTTCTGTGTGTGTTCCCATTTTAG